GAAGTTTGACCCGCTAGAAGAGCGAGCTGCGTGAAAATGCTGGGACCCTTTTTCCACCTGGATCTCCGCTCTTTTTGGCCCTCATGTCCCTCCGTTGTCTGACTAAACTCGCCCCCACTTCCTCTCCGCCTCGGCCGTATCTAGACCCACAGTGTGTAGCTCAGACCACGCTTCAATATTGAGCATAAATCAGAAATGTCTGTCAAGCTCACTGCAGCATGCTGCTGTAAGAGTATAACCAGGAAGCGAGGTAGGAGGGCAAAATAGGTTTAGCGCCACCACAGCACGGGATGGAGAACTACGCCCAGGAGCAAATGGATAAAAATAGACTGGATGAAAAAAAAAAACATGAATCGATTCTCTTGCGGACGTATCGATGCATCGGATCGTCCGCTGTTGGATCGATGCATCAATACAAAACGATTATTATTTACACCCCTAATATAAGGTGATGTTAGATCCACTCTGGCCACCATATGTCAGTTTAAGAATGTCAGTTTTTGGCTGACCCACACAGAAGAGTGAAAAGATGTAACAGTTATTTTAAAATGGAAAATAAAATATAAAGAAATGAATCTTTAACCAAGCTGGCTCTGTTCATTACTACTGTTTTGAAACATTTTTTATAAACAATGTCGAAACAGTTTATAAATAACCAAATTAACTAAAAATGTTAAAACCTGCCGATGGAAAAATATTTGATTGTGATATTCTGGTACCTTAAAAGCTCTTTATGTTCACTTCCAGCCGCTACAAAAGGCTGCCAACAGAGAGCTTTCAGTGGGGATTTCCAGTGCTGCCGAAGATCTGGCGCTCTGAACAAGAGCTGCATATTTTAGTGGGAAAATCCTGATGAGCTAACTGCACAGACGATGTTTTGAGGTGGACTTTCTCACTTAAAAACATGTTAAACTTTTTTCTAACTCATAAAGTAAATAAAGCCAAGGTGCTCTCTTGCTTGTAGCTACAGAACAGAGCTTCCAGAGAGTCAAAGCATTAAAGCAACTTGATCGGCATTTGACCCAGTTTCCACATTTCGGCGTTTGGGCGAGTTTGACGCCCAGATCTTATTGGGTGTGAACGCACCATGATCGATTGCCATACAATAGAATTCCTGGGACTTCTGAATACCAACAGGAACAGCAAATGTAGTGTCTGACTCAACGACACAATGACTGAGGAAGGCAGAGCTAAAGCCCAAACTGGCAACCCACCAGTTACAGGATGCCTCCTTTATGTGAGCCCACCACCCAGGTGTTGGGAATTTTCAGCGGCATAACCTGTTTTGCAGGACATTTAATATCTTCCCACCTGTAGGCAAGGAATCAGAGCTTTGTTTCAGTCAATATCCTGAAAAGGACCTCGTCACACTCTGATGTGGTTAAAATTGGGGAAAACCCTTTTGCGAGGAGTTAAGCTTGGTTTATGCTTGATGTGTATGCGAGGTCTGCACAGCCCAAGGTCTGTGGCTTCTCTGTATAGAATGGAGTTGGTTGAGGTGGTCTAATCATCTGACCAGGATGCCTTCGGGTCTTTACCTGATTTTCTGGGAAGGAACTGGTAAGGCATTCAACTTAATGCATGAAGTATCTATTCCTTCTGGCCTAGGAAGACCATCAGGTCACATAATGAGCTGGCAAGTGTCCAGTTACCCCAATAACCAGATTGCTCATAAGATAAAGACAAGGGGTGGCTGGAATTAAGAGCTAAATCAGCCAGGGGTCTGCATCATTTCGGGTTTAACTTCTATAATAAGCATACATTAACTATGAAAACGATAAACTACACATTCCTATTTCAGTCATAAGTAGCCCTAAGTTGTTGGAAATGTGTTTTACTCTAAATGTGTGATTATTTCCACATTTGAGTTCTACCATCAGGAAACAAGGAACCTTGGTTTTCAATTTCCAAAATTCATAATTTTTCCTCCTATGTTCCCTCTCTATAACTAGTTGGAAAAAGATGGACTAGCAAGCCGAGCCCAGTCAGTTCCGGGTTTAGATCCTGGCAGAGGGTTATTTAGGGCAAAAAGTCCTTCACAACTTTCTCTGTCTGGATCAACTGGTCCTGCCAGAGGATCCTTCAAAAGCTCTGAACTACCCATGAAGATGACAGCAGATTTAAAAGAAACAGACTCTTCAGAAGTTCATGGGAAAGAAGCAGTTGGCTGTGAACATGGAATTAATGGAGATCTCAACAGTCTGACCAATGGCACAGCAGAACCTTTAGACTCCAATCCAAGCCAGAGGAATGTTATAGATGACAAGAAGATAACACGTAAAACAGAAGTGGGTAACCTTGTTACAGACAAGGTCACACCAACAGAGGATGGTAAGGCCATGGTGCCAACCCAGAATTTATCCCAACTTCCAGAGGGAGCAAAGATTACTCCTGATCCCCCACGACCAGTTCCAAGACCAAGAGCAGCCCCATTTCCAAAAGCCAAAACCGGGTCAGCATTCTGTTTTAAACATGACATTATCAAAACGGAAAACAAGGAGGACCTCTCACGAGGTCTTGCACTTTTTATGGCTGGAGACAAAAGGAAAGAGCTGCAGCTACAAATAAACAAAGACCACAAGCTACAAAAAGTGGAGATGGAGAAACCACATGAAGAGAAGAAGAGCAGTAAGCTAAATGAAACAAAACGGCAGCGAACAGAAGTTACCTCCCCTCAGGTGGTGCAGAATACAGATGATCTCACCAGTCTAAAGGAAGCTTCATCAGCTCCTGATGGCTCAGCTCAGACTTCGTCCAAAATCACTTCTACAAGACTCTGTTCTCCCCCCCATGCCGTGGGCTCTTTCCCACCTCCAAAGTTACCTCCTTCACATCCTAGCGTCCCATCCACCACCGCTTCTGCCACTCCTTGTAGTCCACCGGCCTGTAAATCCTCACCCTCGCCTCCAGTAGAGTCTTGCCTCAGTGCAAATACCTCTGTAGTTGTAAATGGAAGGAGTGTTCCTGATCCCAGCCCTGGTCCACATGTCCCATCAGGAAACGTCTCTATTCAACAAGCTGCTCTCAGTCAGGAGGAGGTACAGTGGTCCCTGCTTTATAAGTGACCCTGGTTTTATAAATGCATGATTGTTTAAATGTGGGCTGCAGTAAGTAGAAATAGTGACTGCTTATGTATTAAATGTCTGAATGATTAACATGCTAAGAAAACATTTGGACGCTGTAACATTTAGTAAGGCATGTAAGAGCTTGATTCTGTTAGTATCTGTTAGTATTGAAGTGTTGACATCATCCACGTCGCTGGATTTGATTGGTCCGAATCATTTCTGTAATCTATCTGTTGGATTCTGGCGAGATGGATTTTTGGGAGTTTGCAAATACAAAAACCTCGCGTCGATTCACCTTGTGGTTACACTTTATAACAAGTATCAAAATCATCATTTACATATGTTAAAAAGA